CTATCTTAGATAGCTGGGCCCATTTTAGTTGCATTTTTGAATGTGTTGCATTAGGCATCTTAACATAGCTAGGATTATGTATGATTACTAACTAGCTTTTGTTTTGGCTCGAAGTACGCTGTGAGTGTTTATGCTTTAGCATTCTTGCATTTGTGTAAGTTTTGCCATGTTTAGCATGCTTGCCATAAGGCTATGTGCTTAGCTGCTATAACAGCTTGAATGCCTGTGGGTAAAGGCTTGATTTCCTGGATTGGAACAACTCGATGAAATGTGCGTTTTAAGCCCACTTGAAGTGGCAAATCATGTTTGTCTAAAGCCCACTTGAGGGTGGCAAATCCGCGCTTTAGCCTATTTGCGAGTAGCACTTTCAAACCACTTTAAAAAACAAACATGAGATGTTTTGTTCCAAATCGAGTGATTTAGTCTATACTTGTATGTTGTGTGCATCACATAGTAAGCTAGCTAATAAACCGAAATAAGAACACATGTGTTTTAAAAATAACATATCATGTTAGTAAAGGCCGATCTTTGATCGGGCGAGCAGGGGTGCTCATTTTAGGACCTTCCCCTCTCGTACCCAAGTTCCCGAGCCGAGGCAACTTTGGTGATGACGGACACGTGGCCTTAGGCACGAGTCAGGGTTTCCTAAATTTCTCAAAAACAAAACATTTAGGTGGTGACTCTGAAATCTGGCAAAGCAGTCCATGTTTGGCACTTTTTAATTAAAATCGATTTTCCAAAACGATTTGCCGGATTTGGACTCTTTGGTGATTTATCAGTCTTAGATTGCACTTTGTGAGATTAGATTCAGAACCGTGACACGAGTCCGAACTGTAGTAGCTAGAACAACGATTCACGCCCTCTCCGAAAGGGGGCGCGCGAAGCGAAGTTCGGGGCGGTCTACAACAGTGTAAAGAACAAACCCAATAAAGTAGCAAACTGACAAGTCCAAACCTTTCCATAGCAGAGGTGGTCAATCAATGTCGTATAGTTTCAGAGCATCGCGTATAAAATTTCATTCAATCAATAAATCTCAGGGGTACTCCACAATTAAAGTTCAATCAATCTATGTAACAGCTGATAGTAAACACATTCATGTTGTTACAGTTTCCCATAGACAATCATTAAGCAAAAGTAGCAATACTCATTTGGCATTCGTATTTGACGAAACACACCATATAATGACAAACAATTTCACTCTTATCTATTTAGTAAGGTAATTCTCATATGCATTCCAAAATCAAAGTGCATGTTCACAATATATATATATATAGTCAATCAAAAGTGTACAATCCCCAATTTCCATATAAACATTTTGCACATAATCTGTGTCAGTTGTCTTATTAGTTCAGTTGAAACTTCCACCATTCTTTCTAACCAATCACTTCTAGCCTCTGATGCTTCAGTTTCATCTAAGTAGAGACACTCATAAGCACAAACAAGACTTCCCATAGTTTCCGTTCTCATTTCATTTCAACATATTCACAAAGTCCATATCATTTTGCCTTTCCATTGACCGTTCTTTCCTTTTTTTTCTATATGTAAACAGAACACTAATAAACATAGGCAAAACTCTTACAGTTCTCACATTGTTCAATTCATGTCAGATTTGTTCTTTGTTCTTTCTAGCACTCATAACCATAGGCCAATAATTCTTTACAATTTTCACAGATTGCGGTTCAAATATATTCTTTTCAATTCACGTGCATTCATTTCATTTCATTTTTATATGTATTCACAAAAGTTCTCATAATTCTTCATCTTTATTTCCTTGTTTGTCATTTTCATAGCAGTTCACACACTCACACATGCCAATGCAATGTCCAAAATCCTTTTCTAGGACACTCTACAGCTCATATGGACACGTGTGTGGGCAAATTAACTCATGCTCTGATACCTTCTGTCAGGACTGAAACCACCTATAGGTTTAGCATTGTAACCAGCCAGTAATGTAAGAACCTGAATTTTTAGACAACTAATTAGTTTGTTAATAGCAATATTAAGTCAATTAATAGTGATTAATTATTAAATTATTAAATTATAATGTTAATAGCATCATGATTAATACCAATATAAATTCCTTTAAATAAAATTATTTATCTTTTTGTGATAAAATTTTTGTAGCTAAATACAGTGTAGAAACTAAATGAGTTAAATAAATAGTAACTAAATTAATCAGAGGATAGTAAGGAGCAAATATCTAGTAACTAGGTTATATATATTCATTAATTTTTATTTTTGTACTAAAAAAAAAAGAAGGGGAATTAGATTTGTTTTGGGTAGAGGAATTCAGCTGTCTTTCTTCCTAAGAGGCTGTTGTCAAAGCATGCCAAGGAATGCATAGAAACACACTCTAAAGCCTATACATATAGATGATAATTCCAAGTCAACAGAAAAGATAAAATAAAAAAATAACAATAATAATAATAAATAATTGTCTCCAAGCTCCTAAAAGTAGAGCACTATTCACCCCTTTTCATTTCCATGGCTAAGGAAAAGAAAAAAGTGGAAAAGTAGAAAGAAAAGAAAAAGAGAGGAAGAAGAGAGAGTGCCTGGTGGTTATCAATTCAAAACTAGTTTTGAGAAATTTTTGTAAAAGCTCTTAAGGTAGAAATACTCAACATCTATCCTCCCTTAGATATTTTTCTTAACTAAATCTATATATCAAAAATATGCAAAAGTGTGCATTGTTAATACACAATAGCTCCATGCATGTTTACATTTTGATAAAATGATAATCTTATGATTATATGATTTCTATCCTTCTTACAAGTATGGATTAGATGGTTTAGCTACTGATTTTTCTTCTTATGTGCTCAAATATTTTTCATTATTTGAAATAATCTTGCATGCTTATGAATTTGTGTTCACTCTTCATAAATATTATTTTTATCTATTCCCTGTTCCCACTAATGAAAGTAAATATGAAAGATTAGAGTTTCACATGGGAATAGTACCAAGAAATAATTTTTATAGTCTTGCGTATGATCATGGTGAATACAAAGCGTGTTTTTCATAAAATAATGAACTTCCAGCAAAACAGATTTTTAATCCGTTTTAAATAAACCCAAACAAACTTATGAGAACACTTTCATAAAATCTGACACTACTGGAGTTAGTTTAACATGTTTTCATGGTGCTAGAATATCGGGAAAAAAATTTATTTGACAACGTTTCATGGCCAAAACATATTTTTAACTTCATTGCTGTTTGGAGGCAGCAACAATGCTAACTTTACCAGGTCACCGTTTATTCTACAGAATGAGTTTTCAAGTGATTCAAATTGAAAAATTTATATTTTAAGTTACCTTTCAAATGCTGCTGGTTTTATATTTTTTTTATTAAGTATTGACAAAGAAACGTCAATTTTTCTAAAATGTGACAGAATCTGTCCAGTTTTCTTAGAAAAATTGTTTGACAATCTTCTATTAGTTTTCAGTCTTCAAACTCTTCTAGAAATATGTTCTAAACTCAAATTTCTAGCAAACCGTTCTAACCATACCTCTTTTTGACATCTTTTGAGGCCCCTTTTTATTTTTCAAACACAGATCACCTGTGCTGGAAGTTAATGTAACTCACTGTCCCAGAAAAACTAATTTTCTTCCAAAATTTGTTTCTCCATTTTAAAATCATTTTTAGCCCTGGTATTCTTTTGAAAAATTTTCCTAATTCGATGAACTAGAACCAATTAAAATATTGTAATGGTTGAACTTCGTTTGGTATGGGTTTCATATTTTTTTTTTTCTGACCATATAGTACTGAAAGACGAAGTGTGTGAATTCCTAAGAAACTTTGTGATGAGTCCTAAGACATTCTGTCATATCTATTTTGGTTACCATACATGATTGTGTTATGCTATATAAACATTATGACACTGTGGTTTTCAAACTAAAATTTGCACATGTATCAAAATGTGAATTAAACGAAGTAGAGAAAGACGAAATTAAACAAATGCATTAAAGTTTACAAGTGATAGGGTGAGCCCGGTTTAGAATCTTGCGCAAGTGAATTGTGAACCCTAACATGGCACGGGAAGGTATTTCAGATTTTATCGGTATAGGCGATATAAGGTTGGTAGTGCGAGTATCACAACATAGACCGTTTCCTTGGGGCAGAACGTGATGTCACGACTCGGGTATGTAACTCTGGTGTGTGGGCATCATTGGTAGTTACAGCAAGTAACATTTGAATATTTGACTAAGGGGGAGTCAGAATTGCCCGTGGCCATTGCTTAGCGATTGAGTGGAAATAGTGCTCCGCGGGGAGTTACTTGAACTTATCTGATAAACTAAATCTATGAGAATTTAAAAAGAAAAGTGGGCATTTTCTTTATGATGAAATACTGCTTCCGTTTGCCATTGTTTTTATTATTTATTATTATTATTTCAACTGATAGCACTCCTGTTATGCTTATTAAATGATACTTGTTATTCTATTACTACACATTATTCATTAATTGTGAGTATTATTATCGGGGTGGGTATTTTCGGATTGTAGTATCTTATTGAGCTCGTCGCTCATTGGCATTCCCGTTACCCTGGCATTTTATGCTAGGTACCGAAGAAATCAAAGGAAACATCGAAGCCTTGCAAGACGATATTCAGCCTTGGTTAGCTTGAAGAGTGCCTAAGTTCCATGAACCATTTTTCTAAGTTTTTTAGTTTTCTTTTTATATTTGTGTGTGTGTGTGTGTGTGTTTCTTTTTTTTTCTTTTTTTTTATGTACTAAAACTAATTTTTAAGTTTTATTGGAGTTGTAATGTAAGAACTTTTAATTTCTGAGTCGTTAATTAATGGATGCTAGTAAACTTGGTGGCAACATCGATGAGGAGTTCTTAATTAAGAAAACTGATTTTAAGTTCTAAATTTTATTATGATGTCCTCAAATTTTGGGGTATCACAAGTAATCTAAGATTACCAAAGGCTTTTCTGTACAAATCAAAATAATCGGGGCTAGCTGAAAATTAAAATATAGAAATAACCAATAATCCATTGAGTTGTGCAACTATATGACCAAACATGTACATACATAACCGTCAATTTACCCACATACAATAATCCTTACATACCATCTTGTACAACAATCCACACCAAGGTGTGTCCAAAACATAAGCAAAAGTGGGATTTCAATCCCACTAGTAAAAGGGTACACAAAGATCATAAACTATTCATGATATATAATTGAATCCCAAAAGGGTGATTTCTGTACCAACCAAAAGCCTCGACACTTGACCGATGAGAACCTCGCGGTGAGGCACAAAAAATGGCTTGACAAAACTGAGGCTAGGTCAGCACCACTATGTCCCTTCATGCACTTGATCACCTATATACATATATAACACCATGAGTTAGAGCCCAATGAATAACAACAGTGTAAAGATGTTATAATTGATGTCTTTACTGCAATTCAAATTGGTCAATTTAGTAGTAAACAAAAGATCAGAATCATATGCTTAGCAGATCCCTATCTTACATAGAAAGCATAGTAGTCATACGTGGTACATCCAATAGCAGAACAATACAAACGGTCATGAAGACTGAGCAGACGGTCCTGAAGACCGAAAAGTCATATATGATGGCCATCAATACAGCAAACAGAAGTTCCATGAAGTGGAACTGACAGAGATCTCTGTAACAATAGTAGAAACAGGTGCTAAGAATGCCACGAATACAGTTCATAAAACAGGACAATTATTCAATTAGTCAGCAAAAAGCAGTTCAGAAACAGAGCGTTTTATAAGTCATAAAATTCTTATAATACAAACATATCTTTACAAGGTTGTTACTCACAGTTGGCTCCTTGAATTACGTGAGTAGGACGCGGCGTCTGACCTACCGAAACACAATTAAGAATAACATGTTCAATCATAGTCCAATCATTTAGTGGACTCTTAATCCATTTGGTTCTTTTTATTCCTAGTTCCTTCCATGCTCATGCAATGCATATGGATGTGTATTACACGTCAAAACCATGTAAATGAAGGTCCGGAAGTCAGAAAAATAGAAAGAAAACAAAACTAGAAAAGCTGCCCTGTTGGCCGCACGAGTAGTGATTTCAGAATGCATTTTGTGCCAAAAGAGACCTGGCCGCTCGAACGATCTGGGTGTAAAACCAGTCCAAAAACTCTACTGAAAATGGAGCCTCAACTTTTTATAAAATCAACTTATACAAATCAAGGCCCAAAACCTTACAAAACCATATTGAATTAAACAATTCTAACTTCAATCAAAATCATAATTTCAAAGCAAAACCAAAATTCCATTTACAAGCTCAAAGCCTTGAAGTCAAGAACAAAATCAAAAGCTATGCACGTGATGAGTTCTAATTCCATAATTCATGGAGAAAGTCCCTTGAAATCTTTAAGAATCTTAGAAATCATGCAAGAAAACAAGTTACAAACATGAATCTCATGAAATCATGCCATGTTCTTGCCTTGTATGACAAAATACATGTAAAAGCTTCCATCAAATCCATAAATCCAACTCTTAATTCATGATCTTTAAGGTTTGAGAGGTAAAATCTTACCTAAAGCCTTCATTAACTCTTATTTTTGCACAATCTTGGAGAATCCAAGCTAAATCTTGAGTTTCCCTTTCAATCTCTATACATTCTTCATATTCTCTCTCTCTCTCTAGAACTCTCTTTCTTTCTCTACACATTTATGGCTCTTGAAAGGGATAAAGATAAGCTCAAATATGTATAATATGTCATATATATCTATTTAGGCCAACCAAACACAATGAATCAAACGGAATCAATTTTCAATTGAACTTCCCAAATGGTTCTAAAAATTCCCATTAACATATCCATGTATTCCATTCCGTTTTCTGAACCCATTAAGGTCGTCAATCTTAATTCCAAAATCGTAATGTCAACAGGTTATTCCCAATTTGAACAGATATGCACAAATAAATCACATAATCAATGACTAACTCATAATTCAATTAATATAATTATGACTTGCATTTTGGGCCGTTACACCCTCTAATTTAGGGTTTGTGTCACTTTAGTCCGTAACTTTTTAATTATAATACATTTAATCTTAAATTTTGAATCTTATTTTAAATAAGGACAATCAAATATGTTTCATTTTTAAACGGTTCATTTTACGAGCAAAGTCGTTATATAACTTATTTTGTATTGGTTAATTTGTTTGTTGTTTGAAGTATAATGACATTTTTTTAATGAATAATGCTGACACATTTTTTGTTATAAAATTCTGTTTGGTTCATTTTTAAAATATACTTTTAGAAAAAATTTCTAAGAAAATAAAAATTAAATTATAGAAAAATAAATAAAAATTTTCTAAGAAATTAATAGCCATACGAGTCTGCTCTCCAACATCACCCTCTCCCTCTCTCTCTTATCTCTCTCTCTCTCTCTCTCTCTCAACTGCCACGGAGGAGCTTCGAATCCATGTTAAGTGAGGTTTATACGAGAGACATAAGTGGTGTTTGGGAAGATGTTTTTTCGATTTTTTTGGTCGAAATAGTATTAAAAGATAAAATAAGGGAGGTTCATTAGAAAATCATTTTTTAAGTATTTATATCCCAATTAGTCTATAAGATATTCTTGTATTATTTGAACATTTGATCTACTAAATCCTAATTCTCATATTTAAAATATTTTATGGATATTTCTACCCTTATAAATATTTTTTGAACGGTTAACAATTTGGTGATTTGAACATTTATATTTTACAATGTGAATATTTATATTGACGTGTGAATGTTCACATTGACAATGTGAACATTCACATCACAGAATATTGACACTATAAATGTGAATATTATTAGGATTTTGGTAACTGTATCACTCATAGAATTTATTGGAATATAAGAAAATAATGTGGATTAAATAGAATATAAGTAGATGAAAAGAAGTTTATGAAAAGTGCCCCATAAAATAAATTAAAATAATTAATAAGATAAAATGTCTCATCAAATTTATAATCATTTCATTTTTTCTCACACAAACATCACATTTAACTACAAAAAAATCAACATTATTCTCAAACACAACTATTTTAACTTATTAAAATAGTAAAAAATTAAAATAACTTATTAAAATAATCAACTTTCTAAACGGAGCCCAAAACCCTCGAGGGAATGATTAGAAAAATAAAATTACTAATAAATATTTATTTTTGTTGTTAATTAAATATTAAAAAAAGTATCATAATACGTGGACTTGTTTGTAATCTCTTAAATAATCAAGTTTTTAACTGAAAAAAATTAGGAAAATTTACATGTGACTGGAAATCTCAAAAATTAATTACAAATTTTAAAAAAAATTATGATTTTACTTTTTTAATGTTTATAAAGTTTTTTACTTAGATTCCCTTTATTTTGATGTAAAATATTTTTCATGCAAATGTTTTTACTTGTAAAAAAATCCAGTAATTTTTTTTTTCTAATTTTTGGTAATGAACCTAATAAAAAATTCAACAAAGGTGAAAAAACAAAATCATTACAAGGCTCACTGTGCAGATAATTTTTAATTGATTCTTCATCGCATGCCTATCAACCCAGCTTATTTGAACTATAGCATATTATTGATGAAAGTATGGCCTATTTTGGGAATTTTAAATTCATTTCTCCCTTTTACAAAAAAAATTAAAAAATAATTTTTAATCAACTTTTCAAAAAACCTCTATATCGATGATAAATTAACTTACGGAAATCAAATGGGGAAGTCAATTTCCTTCAATTTGTTGGATTACTTTTTAGCCAATTAAACAATGAAAAATAAGTAATTCGACGGAACAAACGGAGTCTAAGTTTCGTTTGGGAAGCCATGGTTTGGGCTTTTTTTAGCTATTTTAGCCACAAAAAACAAAATAGGCTATTTTAGTCATAACAAACAAAACATCACATCCAACCCATAATCATTACATTCTTCTCTTACAAAAAAACTCAAAAAAGCCAAAAATCCAAAAAGCTCTTCCCAAACCAAGCTTTTAAGCCCAGGCTAAAATAGTCAAAAAAGCCAAAAAGCCAACCCACTTCCCAAACGGAGGCTAATTTAAAAATGTTTTTCCAAATGTTAACCTGATTTGAAATTATCCCAAAAAATTAAAAGCCCGTTAAAAAAAAGCATATTTTTGAACAAATTTGTAAAAAGAAATTCCATAATGTCTTTAGAAGGCTTCAACAATATGATAAATTTTCATAAGAAAACAAGCTTGAAAATATTCAAAAATATAATATTTTTTAACAATTACTAAATACATCAATTTTTTATTTTTTTAACTATTAAAAAAATTATAGTGTCAGGCTAATATTCAGAGGACATTTCGCTCTCTCCTCTCCTCTAATAATGAGCTGGTAATCCATTTTCAAAATTAACCAATAATACGTGATAGGTACTCCTTTAGAACATGCAAAGCTTACTTTAAAAGGAAAATGTTATAGAAATCCACTTTCTAAATTCAATGGTATAAAAGATATTATTAGTTGATAAATAAATAAAAACATATTAAAGATAAAATTATTTTAAATATTATAATAAATTAGCACATCATTAAATTTAAAAAATAAGTATTTGAAGTTATTCCTATAATAAAATGCCTTTGGTAGAATTATTGTGTTGGTAGTCCTTTGCATATTTTTTTTCACAGTACTACTTTCTTGTCAGTTACTTGAAATTGTTCGATAGATAATGTGCTTTTGAAAAAATCAACAAAAACTTCATTTATATGTAGTAGAATTCTATTATACATATTTTATACCATATCCACGTTTAGTTATATATTTTTTTTTAACTATGGTTAATTTTTTTTTTAATTATGATATTATTTTAAAATTTTGATTATAACTTTTTTTATTTGGTTCTCACTTTTTTATATTTTTTTAATTATAACTCGAAAAGGATAAAGTTATGCCATTTTCTTTTAGGCCCCGTTTGTTTTGGGGTGTAATAGATGGGCAGGAATTAGGATGGGGGTGATGTTATTTAGTGTTGTATTTGTTTGTAGAGTTGGGAAATGGATTATAATGGAGGATGGGATTAAAAAAGAGGTTGAAAGGGAGATTGGGATGGAGGAGATAGAGGTGGTATTAGAAAAATAGTGAGGGGATTAGAAATTTTTTTATTTTTTACATATTGGGAATTTTTTTTTAAATATTAATGTTTAATTTTTTATATTTTTTAATTTGTTTTATTATTTTATATAAAAATAATTTAACAATTCCTACACTAACAACTATCATCAAAACAAACACAATTTTACTTAATCCCCTTACTAACAATCCACTCACTATAAATCCACTCCATTCTACCTTTGAAAACAAACGGAGTCTTACAGTTATAAGGTGTATATTGTACACACCCTTTGAGAGATGTGTACTATAATCTTTATTTTATATGAAACACTTCAATACATAAATTTAGGGGAGACTTCCTTGTAAGTCCTAATAGGTGGACTTATTGTCCAATAAGTCGTATGAGAATTAATGGCATTTTTCATCAAACACTATTAAAAAATGTCACTAATTGTTTGTTTTTAGCAATAGTTTGAAAAGTTTGTCACAAAAAATGTCACTAACTATAAGTTTTAACAACAGTTTAAAAAAATAGTTACAAAAAGTTACTAATTTTGAACTTTTAACGACAATTTAAAAAAAAGGTCACAAAAAAGTCACCAATTGTCAATTTTTAACGACGTGCAAAAAATCATTACAAAAAATTATTTTTAGTGAGATTTTACTTGGACTTATTTTCAATAAGATTTAATAAGAATTAATGTTGCGTTGCCTGGGGAGTACCTAAGCGCGTTAAACAATTCAGACCCTCGATTTTTTGATCTAGTCTCACGAGTGCAATGTGAAATATAGATGAGAGTTTAGATTTGACAATTTTTATAAAAAAAATCCATTTTATTGCAAAACATTTGTCAAAAATGAATTGCGTCACCAAATCTCAAAGTCGTCAAGTAATATTTTGAAAAATTAAGAAACTCATGACTCGTGCCAAGATCACTGTTCGTCGTAACTAAAAATGTCTCGGTTCGGAACCTTAGATATGAGAGGGGAATGTCCTTAATTGAGCACCCCCACTCACCCGATCAAAGATCAATCTCTACTAAACTATTATATGAATTTTATTTATTTTCTATGTTCATATTCTGATTTATTTAATAAATCCTAAAATTTACTATGTGAATCATACAAATATAGACCATGTCATTCATTTTGGAACAATTTGATTTCATATATTTTTGAAAGAGTTTGAAGATGTACAACTCAAAGAAATTGAATTAACAAACACAAAAATCGATATTATTTCAAATTAAGCGACACAACCTCCATCCACTGGCATTCATAGAGATATATCAAATAAGCAAATAGTCACATTGTAAGATGCTAAACATATAGTAAGAAAAACATACACAAACCGAATGCTAAAGCATAAAAACTTATATATTTACCGATGTCTTAGGAATCGCTACAAAACAAAGTTAGTAAAAACATATATGATTTATATACAAAATCCTAATGCAATTCACTAATGAGATGCAATTAAAGATTCGGCTTCTAATATATGACATGTGAATCATCTCAAGAATATGAGGTAGTGTACATAATCACATAAGAATTAATTAAATCTATAAATGCAAATTTAACTGAATTAAGATGCATAAATCATGGATACAAAGCATGAATACGATAAAAAGTAAAATATGATGCATATTTATAAATAAGAAAAACAAGTAAAAGAACGGGATAGAAAGAAGCGGGGTAGAAAATTATTACAACACTTGAACAATTACAAACCAAATAAAAGAGAGAGAAAGAGAGAATATTATAACACAATAAAACTTCACAACTCTCTCAAATGAAAACAAAAACAGAAGCTTCATGTGCCTTGAAAACCATCAGAAATTGTTCTGCTCATCGTCGAAAGACTACTCTGTTCTGTCCTAGAAGAAGTTAGCCGGCCAGCCAAAAAGTTAGCTAGCCGGTGTAGACCGCCCGAAACTCTCTTCGCGCGCCCCTCTTTCAAAGAGGGCGCGAATTGGGTTCTAGCTACTACGGTTCGGACTCCTATCACGGTTCTGAATCTAATCTCACAAAGTACAATGTGTGAGTGATAAATCACCAAAGAGTCCAAATCCAGCAAATCGTTTTGGAAAATCGATTTTAATCAAAAAAGGCCAAACATGGACTATTTTGCCAGATTTCATAGTCGCCACCTAAATATTTTATTTTGAAAAATTTAGGAAACCCTGACTCGTGCCTAAGGCCACGTGTCCGTCATCACCAAAGTTGCCTCGGCTCGAGAACTTGGATACGAGAGGGAAAGGTCCTGAAATGAGCACCCCCGCTCGCTCGATCAAAGGTCGGCCTCTACTAACATGATATGTTGTTTTTGAAAACACATGCGTTCTTATTCCGGTTTATTAATCTAACTTACTATGTGATGCGCACAGCATACAAGTATAGACTAAATCACTCGATTTGGAACAAAACATCTCATGTTTGTTTTTTTTTTTAAGTGGTTTAAAGATGCTACTCGCTAGTAGGCTAAGACGCGGATTTGCCACCCTTAGGTGGCCTTAAAACTCAC